GTATCGCTGTTTTATAAATGGAAAGAAACGTCTTGTCTGAATGATTTCGAATATGCTGACTTAAGCATGTACAGTTCTGTAAATCGTCTACAAGTTGGGGGTATTCATCTTCATTCATGCTTTTCATGTGAACTCATCGTTTTTGTGAAACAAAAGTGTAATTTGTTTGTTTACCGAAACTTCAATATCTAACAAGCATCTGACTAACGCTCCGTCCACACTACGCCGGAGGAATTTGAAAACTGATGGAGGTTCGTTTCCGTCCACACTGATTCGTCACGAAATGGAGCTTTTCGAAAACGCTCTTTCAACCGGAGGAATTTGAAAAGGCTGACTTTGCGTTTTAGTGTGAACGGAAAACATTTTAAAAACGAAGCTTTTCGAAAACGATGACGTCACGATAATCATGATATTTCCCTGCCAGCGGTTTCCTCAAACACAAATCCAAAATGGCCGGTGATTGGTGCGTTTTCAAATTCCTCCGGCGTAGTGTGGACGGCGCCTAAACATCCCCATCGGAAATGCAGCTTTGTCACATGATGATTGGCGCTGACAATTGCGTTAATCAAGATTTTATTCCTTGGTTAAGTTGAAGATAGATTCGGGAGGACACTCTGGGCTGTAAGTGAGATTGAACACCACCTATTTTGCGAGAGGAATGGGTATTATAAAATTAACTCCTTGTTGCAGCTCGGCATTTGATACTATTCTGCTCACATGTGACATGTAACTGCATGTGAACATACCGGCCACATGTAACAATTGAAACACAAAAGTTTAACAGCAGTTGCGTTTTTGTTTTGTTTTTTTTGTTTTTTCATGTCCATCTGGCCTGTAACCTCCGCTATCCCCTCCTTTGCTCATATCTCCACCTCCCCCCTTCTCCAGGATTGGTGGAAGGACCGATGCTGGTTGACTAATTACCTCTAATGACTCTAGTACTGACTTCCACCTACGTACTTCCCTCGCTCTCACCCGAAATGACAGTGGGATTAATTACAACAGAGTTGCTAAACTAAAAAGGTATTTTTCCCCAATTAGTTGTTAAACTTCGGGATGTCGAAGATGAATAGTTTCCTGCTAAAGGCAAGTAAACTACTTTCCCACTAATTAAAGACTGGAGATGAGTGGCCAGGAAATGGAATGAAAACAACCGTACGACGACGACGACGCTCTATTTTAAGGGAGTCTCTATTTTAATTGAACTTATTCGAAATGTTTTCACTGACAAACTACACAGTGTTAATTTATTTGGCTGTACTTTTCCATCATTTCATATCTAAAAGTTAAAGTTTAACTCCAACAGGGAAGCATACTTAATCGTGTATTTCAACAGTTTATTGAAAGAACTAGTGACTACACAAGATACATTACAAATTTTTTTATAATCCCACACGTATACATAAAACTATTTCTACAATCATCTCAATTGTTACGACACTTCCTTTTTCTTTTCCTTTCCACTAGTATTGCTTTGCATGACTTGCTACAACGTTGAAAACAGCACGACCTCATAACCTGTCACGTGATCATTCTCATAACCAAACGGCGTTAAGGGTCGCCGGCGACCAACCCGCTGGCTGAGGAGCCTGAAGGCTTAGGATATGAGGGTTTTCATCCAATACTCTCAACACTAAGAGTATTCGTTTCAACGAGGGATTTAACCTGACAACAGCAGGCTCTGATTTTCGCGCCTCGTTCTTGTTGACTCCCAGTTTTTCGCACGACCCACGAGTTAATGAGAGGGCAGAACAATTAGAGTTTGACCCCAGGTTTCTAAGGGCTAAATTTGGTCTCCAGAGCCATCTGCCAGTGCAAATCTCAATTAAACGCTTTGGTGTTCCAGCTATCGTATATGCTATCATTGTATCTAATGTAATAGTGCAATCGGTACTATTAGCTACGCTAAAATGCTGTCATTAACTCGTATTTAATGATCTAAGACCATGGAGAAATCTTAAAGGTCAAGATGTCGCTGGGTCCAATGACCCACCTCATAGAAAACAAAATGTAAAAAGTGTATTGCTGCGCAGCATTTTGAGCCGTGATCTATTAAACGAGTCTCCAAATGTGTTGTCATTTCTCTTTACGTAAGAAAAATCAATGTACTTGCTAAGAAATTACTCGGATCTTTTACTTGGTCTCTAGCAGGTATGTTTTTTTACATCAGACTCTTAATCTAGAAAGAACAATTATTTCTTCGGAACACGAAGTGATCGATAATGCTCGAAGCTTCAGCTATGTAACCCTGTAACAGCTAACCTGATAGCAACTGCAACGTGAGCTGACAGAGAGCAAAATATCCTACATACCCAAGCTCTGTCACAAAATTCAAACTAGCTATTCACTTGATTTCAATGACTATCTATCCGTATCAATTAGCGTTACTACAATCTAAGCTCAGCCTGACGCGTTATCCGTGTATTAGATAGTTAATAGTGAACAATGAGCATGCTCAGCAGCAAAAGAAAAGAAAAGAAGTGAAGCGATTCTGCGGCATTGTGACCGCCTCCTGCTCCGCCGCCTTGCTGGTTCCTGGTGGGAGCTCCGACATTGACGCTGGGATCGATTATGCAGGTGTTGTTGAACTTGGGGATGCGGAAACTGAAACTCTTCGTCATTCCTGTTGAGACGAACTTGGGAAATCCTGGAGGGAATGCTACGTAGTCGTTGGTGCCGGTCAACACCTGGAAAAGTAAAAAGGAGAATTGATTAGGGATCACTTTCAAGGAGTTGTGCGGGTATCTATAGAGATCTGTTCAAAATCAGACTAACGTGGTGTGAAGGCGAAGGGTCCGCGAGGGATGAACAACAGAGAGACAGGAGAGGAGGTGACAGTGCCGTTCGTCTTAATTAGCCATGAACTGGAAGGTAATCCAATACCAAACGTTTGGAGATTTTTTTTCAAATTAGTTGTACACTTTAGTGTGCTATCTAAGTGCAACCATGTTTGCCCCCAGTTAAGGGCGGGGAATTGAAAATAGCATTATGTAGGACTACTAAAAAACCCCAACTTGCGTTGTGTATATAACCGTAAATGCGATGATCATTCATGTCTTCATATCTTTCTCCACAGTTCAAATATATGCGGATCTCTCATATATGCACTTGTGATCAAACTCCCCTCGCTTTCATGTAAGGCGTTGCATACGTCGTGGAACTGCATGATTCTCTCGTCGCACAATCCTTTCGAAAGACTGTGAGACAAAGCAAAAGATCGTCCTCGTTTGGAAGTGAGTTACCCACCACTTTGTTGAGCACCATCTCTGAGTTTCCACCCATGTTGAATATTCTAGGACAATCATCATCCATCTCGTTGGGATCGTCTTCACAAATTGCTTCTTTGTTTGATCCCTGTCGCTCTTCATCTTCCACCTCCTCAGGCTCCGCCATGCTTTTGATGCTGAGTTGTAGATCAAGGTATTGGCCTGTTTCCTTCTGGTTGGTGCTGCTGGTGCAGTTCTCATTTCCCATACCGCAGAACTGCCAGTCACTGATCTAAGATAACAAAAGATTATTTCGACGCTATTATGTAGTCATCACAAGCTCGAGTAACAAGTGGACAAAAACTTTGTACCGAGGTTATTAACATTGTATTTCAAACTTCTCTGCGACTGTAAAAACGGCAATAAACACCAAATGTTGAAAACAAATTTTGAAGTTCATATCAAACACTTCAAAGAGCTTAGCGGTGAAATGAAACTGATGATGAAATGTTACCTGTGATTGCATGTACGATGAATTTCTCTGAACTTTGAAATTTATTTTCTCGAGTTCCGATGGGAAATTGTTTTCTGGTGTTATTTCAGGCAACCATTTTTATCTTTAGTTTTTAGAAAGTGCAAAAAAGACTGAAATAGACTTAAAATTATTCTGGTACAAGGTGTTTGTCCACTTAAAGCTGAAATTACTTGAGTTCCTATTGGATTTCATCTTAAATTCTTCGTTCACTCTCTCAATGAGTTCCAGATTAATTATAGTTCCACAATCAAAAATTGTGCAAATGCTCACGAGAATTCTAATTTGCTACGTCAGCACCGCGTCATAAACATGCGTCATGATGCACATCACCTCTCTCGCGTAAAACGCCAATCAACTGAAGTCAAGTTTGGCTTAGCTTAGCTAAGTATCTCATCGACCCACATAAAGGTAAGTGATATATCAAACACGAAAGAACGTGTTTGACCACATTTCCAAACACCGAGAAGAGAGTTGAAAATACGACGCGCAGCGGAGTATTTTTGACGAACTTCGATGTGTTTGGAAATGTGGTCAAAAACTGTCTTGAATGTTTGATATATCTTCTCAATCGAAACCAAAACTAAGGAGAAAAGGGAGAAATAAAATCGTAAAAAGCTATGCTAATTTAAAAGATCAGATATCCACACACTGTCACGGTCATGATTTCCTTTGTTTCAACATGATGAATTATTGACGAGTTTGACAACGCGAAGTCACACATACAGTAATAACGCTATCAGACCAAATAAAGTAAAAGAAATTCATAGAAAACTCACCTTGATGTTAAATTTTAAAGTTCCACTTTGCACCCGGAATGTCTCGTTACCAAAATTAACGTACCCTGTCCCAAGGAATACCATAACAATCAACTCGAGATTTGCCTGAGGACCAGCGAGGAAAACTGATAGGTTGACATTTTTGACCGGGATTCCTTGATACGTTGACGAGTTGTCCAGTGCTGAGAAATTGAAACTTTGAATCTGAGATGCCAAGGAGTTTAGGCCATGCGTTCTATCTGAAGGTCCACTCATTCCGACTGGCATTCCCAGAGAATCTATTTCTTGTAGGGAATCTACCTGAAACGTTAACACGTCCTCATTGTCGTCGCTAAAATCCTCCACTTCGTCGTCGTCATCGTCGTCGTCGTCATCATCATCTTGTTCAAAATAAAGTGTCCTTATTTTTCCAGTGTCACCTTCGATTCTGACTGAAGTATCATTTCCACGTATCGTTACCGTGTTTGCGGCTCTGTCAACTTCATCTTCGTCAGCAAAGGATGTTACGAGGAGAGTGGCTACAACTAGAAAAGAAATAGGTCAACTCAAAGGGCTTGATAAACGGTCACCTTAAAACCAATCTCAACGCAGTTTAGCAAAATGTACCTAAGTGTCGTTAGACAATGGCAGGAGTTTCGAAAGAGGAAATATTTCAACAATGTGGTCGTGAACGCATGCAACATGCGATGACCAATCAGGGCTCAGATACTCCCTTCTTCACCAATAACGTCAATGCGATTAATCTTTGCCACCTTTGACGGCAGTTACATGTCCTGGCGTCGAGCTCTGTTAGTGTTCTTGCCCGAACGTAGCTTGCGTGAGGGCGTGAACCTTGATTTAAAATTCTCCCAAGTAATGTTAGAGAATTATACACAGCCGGAAAATTTAACTCAGGGCGCGCGGATTTGATTTGCTCCGCCTTTGAATACTCTAATCAGATCAGGGTAATACATTCACTTGCTGTATTTTTTTGTTTTTTTTTAAGCTGTTTCTCCCAACCACACATCAGAAGTAAACTACAATTCATAGCCTCTTTGTTCTGCATTCGACTAACAGTTAAACAACCACAACTGTGATATTCGAAAAGTCAAGGAAATTTTGATTCTCAATGACTAAAAAACAAAAAGTACCCAAAGGCTAGCACTTAGTATTTTTAATGTAGCTTCACTTAACTTAATATTGATGTATGAGAAGAACCATGCATTGCACTATATTGGCCATAGAGGTATCATTTGAATAGAAGTATAGACACACTGCAAAAAATGGCGCCGATATGTGAATAGCAATACTTATACGTCATAAATAACACATTAATGTGAAAAATCCTTTGTTTGGAAACATTAAAAAGAGGCTTAGGATGTATAAATTATTGTTATTCAAATTTAGGCGCCACTTATGCAAAGTGTGAAAAATAATATAAAAAAAAAGTGGACCACATTCGTGTCAACTTGTTATTGTATAAAAGAAACAATTATGGCAAGTTACCAACCGTCAAAATTGTCGTGATCACTCGTACCGCTGTCACTGTGAGCAGGTTGCGTGCTTTTAGCCAATTAAACCAACATCAAAATATTGCTTGAAGCACTGCAGCTCACAAGTTAAACACGGTTAGAGACATTTCATTTGCAAAATCAGTAAACTCTAAAAAAAAACCTATCATTCATTTTAAACAATAATCAACAAAAATACTTTTTAAGAGCTTTTTGATAGGTTTTAATAGTTTTTTTCTTTTTTCATCACTTTCAGAGGCTCGGAAAAATTTGTTCCAGAAGAACCGGCAAAATTTTGAAGTACTCATATCGGTATTAGAGGATTGGTGTGTCCACTCGGTCTAGCACATCTGGAGTCTGAGTACGAATCTGTCTACTCCGGAACTTGAGTCGAACGTCGGTTTTCTTCGCCTTTAAAATCATTTTTTCATTTATCAGGGACTAAAACATGCAGTAATGTTTGTCGTTATCCTTCCAAGCGGACAGTTGAATAAAATGTCGATGACAGAGTATGCCTAATATCGATATTACGTTACTGGCAATTTTGTAGAGACGAGAGTCTTGTGATAAGTGGCTTAATGATTTTTGTGGTGTAAGATGGCCTCTGCAATGGCTCCATTTTGTTCTTTTGAAGCTGACATTATGTTAATCGCCTTCATGATATTGAAATGTCGAGTATGTTCAATCGCGTAATGAAAATGGGCTTCAAGTGGATTTCTTATACAAAGAAATAAACAGCGAATATGCCAGGGGGAACCTCGTGCGTTTCGAATTTACAAACTTAATAATATGTTGCTTGGACCACGCTCTTCTGAGGCCTGTGACTACACAGATTTACGAACTTAACTTATCGAATTAACTTGGCAAGATCTGTTTTTGGCTCGAAAATAAGTTCCCCATATTGAGTTTATTGCGTGAGTATAGTGGCCCCGTCAACTCGCTTAATGTTCTTTATATCATGCACGTTTACCTTACAACAAGTTTTGATCCACAGCTGCAATCGAAGTAAATTTGGGATTCTTTTCTAAAATTAGAGTCTCAGACCACAGATATACGGTTCATTGTTGGTTGTCGAAGCATTGCACTGACATACTAATTTAAATAGTAAGAAGCGAGAAATGCCAAGAGAGAGATCGAAGATAAACTAGAATTTACTTTGTGGTATCGATTCAGTTGAAGATCAACTAACACAAACCAGCTCAGTTTAATTTTGTTAAGGTCAGAGCTAATTGGTTTTACCCAATTCTCCTTCCAAAAAGACCGAAGTCTATTTATAACACTGCATGCTCCGTTGGTAATCGTAAGAAAAATCGGGTGTTTTTTTTTTTACAGAAGGGAATGGAATTGGCCATTGTAAGCAGTATCTAACGTTTTGCGTGTTCCTAAAATAAAACTTACCCAAACAGACGAGAAGCAAGCCATTTGAGAGACGCGAAGAGAACATCTTGGATCTTATCACCTGATCAGCGAGACCTTTTCGTTGCACGCAGAAGACAAAATGTGATGAACAACGTCAGTTACAGGCGCATTAATATAGCAACCGGCTGAAGAGTCATTAACTTTTGTGACGTTTCAATTGGCATTCGTGTGTGGGTGTTTTTACTTCATCAATATTTTCACTGTTTCCTAAAATTGTGTTAACATTACACCTCTGGCCGCCGGACGACCCATTTTAAAACATCCTGAATTAAATCTGGCCAACTTTATATACATGTTGTATTCACTTCTATTAAAATTCACCCATTTTCGACCACTTTGCAATCGTTGGTCAAATTGTGATCAAATATTCAAACCATTTTCTTTCGTGTTTGATTTATTTTGGGGTAATGATTTGTTTGTACAAATACTTTGAGTGGTTGTTAAGGCAATATTGTTGTTTACCAAATGTATAATTTCGGAACATTCACAAGAGAAAATTCTGCATGCAAAGCTCTGCTGTACGCCATTCAGTCTAAAGTTTTGTTTTCAGCTGTGTTATCATGCATGCAAAAGGTTGTTTTTGTAAAACTCTTGGAGACATTTAGGATCGACCAGTTCACAATGTTAAACGAAAACCAGACTTTTTTCGCTAAAAGCGAGAAACGTAGAGAGAAAGTGAGCCAGCCAACTTTTTTCATTTTCAAGAATCGCGTGACCTGCTATGATAATTTTCTAAGAACGTAAGGCTTGACGCTGGACAAAATGAGATCATCTGCATTAAATATCACAGGAAAAAAAACTTTTAAAACGAACCAAAAAAGGCCTTTAAAAGGTTCCGATTTTACGCCAGGCTAGAGCTATTAAGGTCACGTGATAAATTCGAAAGGCAAGAGATTGAAGAGAGAATAAAACCGGAAACGGCAAAATAAGAAGATTCCTTTATGTGCGTTAACATGTGTTTGCTTACTGATTTTTTAAGTTTCAAACTAAATTGCGTGACCTGCTATGTTAATGCTTAAGGCTAGTAGAATAAACTAAAGATGAGATCATAACACAAATTTATCCCCAGCTGAACTTAAGAGACATAGTTCATAGTTGACTTAAGCGGACAAATTGAGACTTCAATGAGTTTGAGCTGAACTGTAATTCTAGCATTTGTGAGCTAGGGAAAACGGTTATGTCAATGCTAGGAGCGCATACATTTGCACACAGGCACAAGTCTTGTTCATGTAATCAAACAAATTTTCCAGTTGATTTTCTACCACTTGAGAGCCACTTTGCGGTTTGTTGTTTTCAGTCCTTTTAAGTTTTAAGTCATGTTATGGCACTCGGCAGTTGGTACCTATACCATGTGAAAAACTAAGAAAATATCTCTTTTTAGGACTCTTTGCAATCAAATCTTCTGAATGCCTTGACGTGCTATATCTGTGTCTCGTCTGATTATTTTTTTTAAACCATTTCCGTGGTATTTCAAGAATACATCTATTATGTAGTCATTCTTAGTGGACGCAGTTAAAAACTAATGACTTTTTCAACATCCTATTATTCATGGCAACCATAGAGATAACTGCTGTATTGCTTAAAAGGCAAAGGGAACCTCCTCGAAATGCGAATAGTGGCCCTTGTTTCGGAACGGGTCTTTATCTGAGTAAATACTCGGAAACACTCGTGTTTCCATGGTAACAAATGGAAGTGTCAAGATTGCGAAGAGGACGATGTAGAATAACTAGTTAATTGAACTTGAATTCAAAAACCTATTATTATCTCAAACAAAAGGTTGTGCTGCGCCAGCGAGCTAGCCTGAGTGAACAGTTATTTTTCGGTGGTGTAAGGTCTATCACGGCAAATTAATGTGAACACCATGTCAAACTAATGGAAAGATGACTTTTCAGGGGTCGACCCCTCGTCGGAGCACATAAACACCATATTATGGTGTTTTGAAATGTTGGCAGACTCTATGACTCGAGATAAAATATTTATCATAATTAATTTACTTTTTATGTGGCGAGTTTTGAATGTCGATAAAAAAACTGAATTTATGTGCCTCACTAAAAATTAACCACAAGATGCGATCAGAACACTGTCGTGTGTCAGAATTGCAACAAAAATGAATCTGTCATGTTCTTACTAGTTATTTTAAGATTTCTCCAGACAAACGACCCTATGTAAAAGGGGGGAGATCTTCAATATAATAACCACTAATTGACAAAGTTGCGTTATTCCCAAAATATTCCATGGAATCGTCGTATATTGATTTAAAATTAACGAAAGGAAAGTACAAAATCTGATTGGCTGAAAGCTGCGTGTCTGTAACTCCATAGAAACAGCATAAAGTCAACTTTCCGTGTTGGCTGTCTGACAACTTCACACTGACCGTGAGTGCCAGCTCAGTGATATGATGAATAGAGTTATCTGACACACGACAGTGTTCTGATCGCATCTTGTGGTTAATTTTTAGTGAGTCTCTGGGTTTGGCACTCAGACTAAGATGATCAAAGTAACTGAGAAAAGCGAACTTGTTTAACAATGAAGTTAACTCCATCGTGGGACACGTTGTGGCTTTATTTCTTAGGGAAGAAGCCTGTTGTTTGAAAACAACCGTGAGAATTTTCCACAAGACAATGCTGTGTTTGTCCGCTCTAGTTACCGACGTCAACTGAACAGTTGAGAAGCTCTTGAGGTGCAAAGCACCAATTAATAATGACTTTAAAATAGACAGACTTAATTCTCAACTTTGGTTTCCACCTCAGTTCAAATATGTGACTCATTTGATTAATTCATTATCGCCCAAAGCACAATTTTTTTGTAAATAGAGGCAGCCATTTTGTTGATCGGGATATTATACCTTTTCTCTCATTTGAAAATGAACTCGAATTTGACTGAAGCTTTCAGCCTTAGAGCGACGGGTAAATTATTTACGCGTTTACAGTGTTAGCAGCTGAACTGATTTCATATTTCACGGAAGTCATTTGATTCTTTTAGAAGAGGATGCTTGGTGAAGGTAGACCTGGCATTTTTCCACTCCATATAGCTTTTTACAAGAGTTAGCTGGCAGTCAAACTCGGACCAAAGAGATAGGAAAGGACGAAAGTCAACAGTTCGAAAAACAAATGAAGGTCAGATTGCTTGGTAAATGAAAATGTATTGGTGATGCATTCTCTTCCTGGTTCTGATATCATTAATGGGAACTGACAGTAAAGTTTGCAGTAATTGACGTTTAACCTCGACAAAAACATCTCAGAATTGCCCACAACAATACAGCTAGGTTGAAGCTCTTGCAATATTGCTGTAAGAGCTGTGTTTTTTCTTGCTAATGACTTGTTTATAAAGAAACAGTCGAAGTTGTCACTGGTAACACGTTTGCGATTACTGATCAACACTGTTGTTTGGTAGCTGTTCGCAAAACTGAGTATCCGACGGTGTTTTCATGAATCTTCTTATAGGCATCTAATCATAGACGATAGTAAAGGGAAACACATTGGATTAGGAAGTTTGAACCGCCCCGCCTTTGCCGCCACGCGTGAAAGATCTGAGGAAAAGATGAAACGAGAGAGGAATTGCTAAACCATCGACACTTGGTACTAGGGAATGTCCGAGTCATGTTGTTGAGTTGCAGTAGAATAAAGTTCCCATTGTCTTCATTAAGCTTAATTTGTGGCCTGGCGAACTTTGACCATAAGCGGTCGTCATATGTATCTCTGGATTTATGAAAACAGTGTTAAAGATATGGAAATTAAAAGGAATGTCAGTGTTATTTTTTCCTCCACCCTCTTATCTTCCGTTTCTTGCTCCTCTCTCTCTATTTTTTCTCATCGCTTGAAGCGATTCTAAGGCCTTTAGGAGTCGTGAAATCAATGTGCATATGGGTGATTTAGTTCAAAATACTGAGACGGTTTTCATAAATTCAGTCATATACTGTAAGCCCATAAATATGTATGCCGAATCAAGACAAAGTTTTGCGTGTTGGATGTATTGATATCCCTTTGAAGCCACTGTTTAAATTGGAAGGATAAATAATGAAATTAAAGTTCGATTATTATTTCATTACTCCAGATTAGGCTGTTATCAGTCGATTATTTAACAATTAGACCCGTAGCCCGCAAGGGCTACGGGTCAATAGCCCATGAGGCGAAGCCGAATGGGCTATTGACCCGTGGCCCTTGAGGGCG